ACTGTGTAAACGTGAATCATAGGTGATTCCAACATTGTGTACCCCATAACCCTGACACTCCATCCAGAATATTCTAGATAACCAATTCTCCTGAATCTCCCTTTACAGACAAATTTCCTTCCTATCCCAGGAACTGGAGGCCATAAAATGGAGGCCTTGAGGCAGACATGAGGTCTAATTACAGAAATATCCTATTGGATCCACATAGTGCTATTTAGAAATACTGAATCTGCCACTACCCAGAAATCAGTAGATTCCCCATAAAAGTACGAACTTAGGGAAGTTTTTCTTGAAAACTCAATAAATAAAATGCACCACAGCTAGGCCTGAGGCCCACTGGCAGCCCTGTTTTGGGTCTGAGCTTAAGGCCTCATGCCTAGGCATGGTCTAATCTGTCAGGGCTGATTCTTGCTTGGTTGCTGAAAGCATCCTAGCTTGCGACCCCTGCTGGAAAACTAACAAAAAGCGTGCAATGTGGAGGAAAAAAAAAATAAAGAAAAGATGCCCACTGGGATCCATTTCCATTAGGTTCAAGCTATTCCTGAGAAGAATGATGTATTCATTTTTCTGGACCTCATGTGGTAGCACATAACTATTGATAAACTATGGCCCAGTAAATATTATTCTAATGGCCTGAAACAGCTATGGGCTTAATTCCCTATGGATGCCTCCTGTTGGAGGCAGGCCTGGAGAGGAATTGCAGAGGCTGTGTGCATCCATGGATTACAATGTCTCCCGACTCGGGAAAGGAGTCTGCTTGGAGATTGAGGATGGCCTCTAGGAACTGGTGAGAAGCCAAAAAGCCAGGATTGGAAACTGAAAAGAAATGAAGGGAACCAAGCTCTAAGGATCATGTCAAGATGGTGCCAAAGGAATGGTTCCACTGGGACCACAACTTGGTACATTGATGCTGCTGCTGACGCCAGCCGCTTGATCCATGACCCACAGTGCTAAATAAACACTCCTTTGTACTTGTGTCCTTTAACTACTCCCGCAAGATTCCAAGCCCCAGGTGGGTCATTTAACTGAGTTCAGAGCTAGGAGATATGGACAAGGAGAAAGAGCCTCACCTTGTCCACCAAAACCATCTCCCTAGAACAAGAGTGTAGTACCCCCTAAATAAGAAGACCTTCAGTGGCTGGGTATCTTCTAAACACTTTGTAGGAGTTCAAGTAGAGATGGAGGGAAAGGGCAAGACAAGCAGTATCTTGGAGTGAAATAAGAACAGATAGATCTGCGTTCCAATCTGGAATCTTTTGTACTTTTAGAAAATTAATGAAGTTTCCTAATTTGCCCATTCCCAATCTTTAAATAGAAATAATGCCATCTGCTCTCTAGGGTTGTTGTGAAAATTCAATTCAATCATTCATTCACTTTTGCAAACACATTTATCAAACATCTAGTAAGTACTAGGATAATTTGGGGGATAAAAATATGAAAAACACCTAAAATGCAATAGAGAGCCAGAGCTCTATTCTGAGAACAGATTTAGACAAGAGAGACTCAGGCAATCCCATGAAAGTAGTCATGTTTAACTGATCCCCTAACTGCAACTTACATTTTTAGATTATTCAATGTCAAGTCCCTGCCTATAAATAGATTTTCTTAAGATATATGTTATCTAAAAGGTAAAAAAGCAGAATAAACAAACAAACAAACAAAAACTCTAAAAATTAACTATAATACTAAAACAAGACAATTATAATTCTGAGAAGCATCAAAGCCTTGTGCTGGTAGAATTCACATAGAGTGATCAGAAGAAGAAAATGTCACATTATATGAAATCCTCACTCTCATTTAATATTTAACATACGTAACTAATTCAGAGATACCCAAACTACAATTAACCTGAAAATTAAAATAGACATAAAATAAAAATGGGGGGAGGGCAATTTAGTTAAGAGTTTCATAAGGGTTTTATGATTGTCAAAATGCTGTTCATATATTTTTTCCTTATTTCTCCCAAATATTCCATTAGTCTCTGTTTTGCAGAAAAGAAAAAAAAAAAAAGAAAGAAAAAAAGAAAAAAAAAAAAACACCCTGAAGCTCCTGGGGGGAAAAACATTTAGCCAAGGTCATGGGGCAAGAAGTCTGCTCTACAGTGCCTAGAGGTCTCTCTCTTTCACCTACCAGAAAAAGGCAGTCTCAATAGAAAGCACTAGATCATGTAACCAGGTTGAAGGAAGACAATAACCCCCAGTAGATAAGGAACTACCCCGGTTTTTCCAACTCAGCTGGGAAGTTCCTGCCTTCTGTAATGACTGGAAAGTTACTGGATTTCCTGCTGAGCAGCTGGAAAGCTACTATTCTCCTGCCACAAGTGTCTCACATGGGGACCTTGGTTTAGGTGCTGGCCCAATATCCAACACTTGAGCACAACCTTGGCATAGGCTCCATTCAGAACGTCCACTTATCTGTCCCTCCTTCCAAACCCTAGCCTCCACAGAGAGAACAGGACTCCATCCACACGGTGGTTATGTGTCACCAAGTAAAGATGCACAGTCCCAGAAAGGCAGCGTGCACTATCAAGCAATTTCTACCAGCCAGTCCACCTTCTGGCCTCTTTCTAGTCACCACCAAATTTCAATTCAAACAAGAAAAGCTTCCACATGGCTTTTCCTTTTAGAGAATGCCTGGGATTTTCTTTTTCCAATAAGAAAGTTTCTTCTTTTGACAATAAAAGCAAAAGCCCCAACTACATTGTGGAATCCCAGTAATGCAAATCGCTCTCCTTTAACAAGGTTACAAACTGGATTCACTTTGCAAAGGACCATAGGCTCCATGCTAATTCCATCATCAGCAGAGTCAAGGCGCCTGGCCTGTGGAAACTCCTATTTGCTAGTTCAAGGCATCACTTTGTCATCAGCTTCCCCAATAAATACTTTCCATCTTCAAGCTACAGTGCATCTTATTATAGCAGCAGCTTCACCATGGACCTGCAGCCCAGAAACAGCTCAACAAGCTTCGCTCTATGCTGCTGTCCTAATTAACCGCTGATTTAGGAGTGCTTAGTCATGAAGTTGTCCATCCCTGTCAAAGTCTGCTGGAAGAGTTAGATAGGTAGCTGGAGCCTGGAAAGTCTCTGCTTAGAATGGATCTTTTCCTGACTAGGGCAGGAAAAAAATCTTACATAACATAGTGGTCCATTTCAATATTGTATTTTCTGCAATCCAGTGGTGGGGCTATCTAAGCACTGGAAATACAAAGGGAAGGCTAGTGCAGGGATTTGCAGCTGAAACATTCATCTCCTGGAATTTCAGTAGGTCAGGCTTATTCTAACTGCACCCACTTTTGCTGGGAAAGCAGAAAGCAAAAATAATTCTGAAAACCAAAGGGAGCGCTTTGAAATGCAGGGAGGCAAAAGTTGGGTTAATTCTCCTCCTTAAAAAAAGAAATATAAAATTCCTGCAATTAATCTTCGAGTGGAATATGGTAATTGTATCTTAACAAAAGAGGTGATATTTGATTGCAAAGCGAGAACGAACAGCTAAAACTGAAGGAATTTGTCTGTATTCTGGCTGTAGCCGCTGCAGCAGCTGGCCAAACACTGAGTGCCCCAGCTCCTTGGAACTCAGCTAAGGACCAACTCCCTGCCCTCCCTGCTGGACCAGTGTCTGGAGGAACAATCTAGCCCTGGAGCTGCGCAGGAGGAGAGCTTGGTTTGCTAAAGAAGGAGCGGAGCCCTGCACTCCCTCCTTCTCCCACTGGCCGCTCTCCCTGATACTCCTTGGGCTACACTAGGTAGCAAGAAATTGCTTCTGGGAGCGCAGTCTGAAGACAGCGCATTTGGAGTTGCGTCCCCAGGATCCCCCAAAAGCATCTTGGCTCAAGTTGCCTATAAAAATAGCCTGGGATAACGCTGAGGGAAGGGGAGGAGCGAGTCTCGCACAAGGCAAGGCAAGTCAAGGATACGACTGGTTCTGCAAAGAGCGGGTTAGGGAGGGAGAGGTGCAACTCTTGGCCCAAGAGAAGGCCCTGCGCGTGCAAGGAGGCTCTCGTGCCATCTTGGTGGAAGTAGTAAGAGTAAGACCTATAGCGCTGGAAAATAACTGCTGAGCCCAGCACAGCCCTTTGACTGTGGTGCCGGTTTCCTGGCTTTGGCTCCAGCTTCTCCATCTCACCATCCGCCTGCGCTCCAGGTTCGGCCCTTGAAGCCGGCCCTCGGGTTCCTGGACAGCGGGTGCCAGAAGAGGGAGCAGCGCCAGGTCAGCCGCCCAGCTGGGAAAGCACACCTGAAGAAGTCAGGCTGGGCGAGTAAGTCCCTGGTTCCCGAGGAGTGGGCTAAGCGCTCCCACAGCGGGTTCGCTCCCCTTATCCCCCTGCCCCCAACCTCCTCCACTATCCATGGTACCCGAAATAGAAACTGAGGCGGAAAAAAAAAAAGTAAAAAGTAAGCTGAAATATCAAGATCCAGTTGTAACTGGTCTCCATATGATAGGCTACTTACAGTCCGGGCTGTCGCTTCAATCTCTTTTCTCGCGAGCACCCCATCCCTCGGGAGATGCCCCATCGCCTCCTTACTCCAACCCACCGGAAAGGTCAGCTGGACCAAATCGTCCCCACCCAGGATGCCGGGTCGGCTGAGTGACTTGCCGACGGTCAGCCCGCTAGTTCTCCGCCCCAGGTGGTACCCAGGCTTGGCTGAGCGCTGTGCTCCAGCCGCCGCACAGGGTCCTAATGGGAAGCCGCCGGCGCGTAGCGGCGGACTGGAGAGAACCTCCGAATCTGCTACGGGGAAAAACATCCAATTCATTAAGAGTCAGAAACTCCAATTTCTGCCCTTGTAGACCAGTCCTCGAGACTTCCAGAGCTGAGGTGCTAGAGGAGGTGAGGACGATGAGAAGACCCTGTGTCTCCTTGTCTCCTCCCTTTCCACTCCACCTGCTTCAGCCTCGACTCACCTTGGGTTCTGCACTTGCCCCGAGTCCGGGCGCCAGGCGAGGGCACCTGGGTGCCGCTTCCCAGACTGGAGGCCCCCGCCCCACGAGCGCTGCACTCACCTGAGCCGCGGTGTGGTCCAGCCCGTCGGGCTCCCTAAATCGGCTCCAAGGCTGGGCCATGTGCAGCACCGCCGGGCACCCGCGGCGAGTGGAGTGAATTCCGGGACGCCCAGACCAGGGCGGGGAAAGGGCTCCGACACCCACAGAGAACCGGCGGTGGCGGCGGCTCAAGGCTGCCAGCCCGCGGAGGACCTTGCAGGCGGGCGTTTTGGTGCTCTATCCTGAAGAGGGGAGGAGCAGGAGGAGGAGCAGGAGCAGGAGGAGGGACGAAGGAGGCCGAGCCCTGAGGGAGAGCGCGTTGGGCAGAGGAGGATCGCGAGCGCCCACTGCTGCCCGGCCGGTTCCGGTGCGGCCCCGAGTCAAGCTCGCTGGAAGCCGGGAGCCACTCAGCGCTGGGCGGCTCAGCAGGACCCTACCTGGCAGAAGCGTCAGCCGCGGGTCCTGGAGTAGTTGGTCCCGCCTACCCTGTGTTGCAGCTCCTCGGGTTTCTATCCAAGGTGAGGGACCAGCGCTTACAAGAGAGTGGGGCGAGTGGATTGGCAGACTTCGCTGTCGCTGCAAACTTGTAATGTCCTGTCTACTCTCTGACCCCGAGCTTGGAACCCATCTGTTCCCCCACTTTCCAGCTCTGCACGGTTCCCCAAACATGCGCTCCTCCCACTGTGTTCGCACCACGTGTTTCCTTACAGGCAGGTGACCCACCTTAAGCACGAGTGATTGCTGCGCCGCCCAGGAAGCAGGGGGAGCCATTCACTCCAATTCGCACTGCAGCGGACCTGGGACAGCAGCGACCGCCTGGGCCAGGAACCGCTCAAAGTGCACAGGGTAGCCACTGAACACACCCTCCCTTTGGTTTCGCGTCAGAACGTAGATGAGGAATTGTGAAGAGGGAATGGAGAATTCCGTTCTGCTTTTGCTAGTGTGCTAGGATGGCAAATGTCAGCGCTGAAATTAAGCAAGGTCCCCTCCGCCACCCCCTAGTTAGGAAGCTGAGGGGTTTTCTGTGAGAATCGACCCGCACACAGTAGTTCAATTTAAGATTTGAAGAGCATGGGTTTGGAATCTTGGAGAAACTGGGCTGCTTGGCTACCTAAGCCTAAGCAAGTCGTTCTCAAAGGCGGCTCAGCAAAAGTGGTAATTTTTTTAATCAAATGCACATCAAAACAATCTTCTTTGCATGAGATTTCAATACCTCTTCCATATCTTAAATACTCCTCGAAGATAAATATTTGAAAGGATTCAAACTTGCCATTTACTTTTTTTTTTCTTTCTTAATTGATAGTCTTCCAACTAAGGGAAAGTTTTTATAGGGGATGTCTACAGGGAATAAACCCCTTAATTTCTACAAAGATTAGTTTCTGCCATTTTAGAAGGCAAAGTTACACCCAGCGCAGTATTTTCTGGTTGGTGAATACTTCCTTTCGAAAAATAAATTTTTAGAAGTTTTAATGACCCTGGCTTTATGAACTTTTAAAAAGTCACTTTAAAGCTGCACTTTGAAAAGCCTTAGCATTTAAATTTAATTTAGATGTAGGGGACTGCTTTTCTCTTCCACTCTAGGAAGCTGTGTAAAGTCATGTATGAGGTTTTCTGGTCAAATGCCAGTCTAAGATAAAGCCCTGTCAATCATGGTATCCTTGTGTTTCTACCTGCAGCCAAGCACAGTGCAAATCATGAGTTCTCCAAAAGAGGCAGAGGTTTTGATAGTCAAAATTGTTAGGATGCCTTTTTCTAAAGGTTCCAAAATGTTATGCCACCCATAATGTGAATTTCACAACTCATTTGTGAGACACAAAGAAGGATACCAATGCTTCTATTTGCACCATAGAAGTCAAAGGTAGATTAACTGATCTACTTCATTATCTACCCCAAAAACTTGAAAGAAACTAGAATCCCAGGCTCCAGTTCTTTGTCTGTTAGTTGTTTCCATTTGCAAAAGTGACTCCAGGCCCATCTGACAAGTGACAAGAATTTGAGAACAGGCACTTTAGATATTCTTGTTAAAAAAAAATAGCAAGCATTCATTAATCAATACTGTTCTTATGTTTAGATAAGTGAAAATACAAATGCCTTATTTTGTTCTTATTCAGCATCATGTCTCTGTGCAGACATTTACCACCTCTTCTAATCAGTCCTCTCTGAAGGGTCTGGGCCAGGAACCTAGGCACAAGGGCCTAGCTCTGCTGTAACAACACCAACATTCTGTGGAAAATATCTGTCTAGGGGCTGGTGCTCCCCAGAAGATGAGAAGTGCTTCAGCATGGGCACCATGACATCATTCTCTCCCCCCAGACCCTTGTATGGTATCTGAAACATACCTTACTGTAAAGAAAAAAAAAAACAGTCTATAGATTTAATTTCCTTTATGGTGTGATGACTTAGGGTAGATACGTTCCCACTCCACAGCCATGATGTGAGAATGGATATCCATGGAAGATCAACGGTCCTTCTTAGTTGTATGACCCAAGAAAGTGTCATCAACTGAAAAATGGGGGAGTGTGATTATTGATCTCTGCATTGCTTTCGTTTAAGCTATTAAAATGTTGATTGAGGGACTGGGGTTGTGACTCAGTGGTAGAGTACCTGCCTGGCATGTGTGAGGCACTGGGTTCAATCCTTAGAACCACATACAAATAAACAAACAAAATAAAGGTATTATATCCATCTATAACTAAAAAAAAATTAAAAAAAATACTGACTGAGCACACATATGTATCCAACACTGCTGCAGGTACTGGGGGAGAAATGGAAAGCTGAGATGCTACCAATGCCCTAAGGGAGACTAATAAAATCTTGTTTGAAACAGAGACAATGTAGACTCACAGGCCATCTTTGCAAAAACCCCTTGACATTGGTTAAGTTGAAAGCTGCATTAGCAGAAGGGAAGTTTCAAGAGTGAAGTAGAAACCAAAGGAAGTGACCTATGAGTTTGGTTAATCACGGACAGTACCAGCAACTAAGATACAACCAAGGCTCATGTGCAGGGACCTGGGGAAAATGTGTTATGTAAGCTGCACCTCATGTTCTTAAAGCAGCCTTGTTAGAGAGAACTAGGATGTATCCATTTGACAAATGGAAACTCAGGTTGACAGAAGTGAAGCAATTGATTCAGCATGACACAGCAAGAAAGGGTATCCTTTAACCAATCTTAAAGAACATTAGTCCAGACTTCCCCAATTTTGTAACTAAGAGCATCCATATCTTCCTTCCACTAAAAAATAGACTCCCAACCCAGTGCTCCTTATAATTGAGTGGTTTGCTGTTGTTGGTTTTGTTATTTGGTGTTTTTCCTCTCCTGTGCAATGACTGGTGAGGTCAAGAGAAGGAGAGGCAGGGGGAGAGGAAAAGAGTGAGCTTACTTCTCCTGAAGCTGTCTATATAGGACCCACTTCACTCTACCTGCCCAGACTCAGCGGGATTTTACCTGCAAGCCCTGTCTACTGGGTTGCCCTATATACTTCTCCTTTCATAATGGCCATTGGAATCTTTCAGGTTAATAGCATGAATATTGAGGAGTCCAATGGGATTCTTTATAAGCAGAGGAAATTGGGATCAGGTTAAAAATCCAATTTTAATAAACTTTCCAAGTCTTGATTTAGCTGGTTGTGCTAATGGCTCTTACTGCTGAATCACCTTAAAAGTCAAATGTATTTTTAAAAGGTCCTTCTTGTATGGGAAGCTTGATGGATATTGCTTAATTGCACATTGTGCATTCCTGTCTTCATAGAAAAAGATCATCTGTAAAACTGAAGAGAGCTGATAGGAAATGCAGCTATCCATAGAACTGGTTGGGTAGAAGGGAAGGCGTTGGGTTTGCAAGATAATTTCCACACGTTTTGACCAAAACAAAGAGAGCATGATTATGCTGTGTGAAAATGGTATCCTCAAATAACTCCACTAATTTGATTGTGCTGAGGTCTAGAATTGTTTCTATTTCTTTTGATTTGCTAATTAGCCAGAGCAATCTGCCTGTGAGAGAGGAAATGAGGGTCAGAGCCACAAAACATGGAGGATTGTCTGTCCTTCCAATTCAGCTCACCCTTCACCTGCCCCCCAAAGCAATCATCCCAGATTCCAGTTTACCTACAAACAGTCCCCATATCTATCATCAATGGATTATTTGGTGTTTTTCTTTTTTGAAACATGGTTTCTGTTCTTTGTACAACAGCAGGTTTCCTGTTGTTGTGTGTGGTTACAGGGTTGAGTTATGACTTGTAGCACTTACACCTCTGTGGGTAGCATCCTTACATAATGCTATGATTTAGATATGGGTTGAATGTCCCCCAAGGGCCCATTTGTCAACCACTCTATTCTCAGGGTGGCAGTAGTGGGAGGTGGTGGAACCTTTAGGAAGTAGGCTTAGTGGGATGTCCTTGGATCACAGGAAGCATGCCCAACAGAGGGGTTTATGTGGTTCTCTGTGAACCCTTGGTAAATCTCCAGAAAGGGTGGCTATGAAAGGTGCAAGCCTGGCCTACCTCCCACTTTGCTTCCTGGCTCTAGATGTGATGGCTTGCTCCTGATTGCCATCCTGACACTGCCATCCACCATGGGGAGATGCTGCTTAGGCAGAGACCTTGCCAGAACCTGCCATTCAGAAAGCCTCTTTACCTATACGTTGGCCTGCCTCTAGTATTTTGTTATACTAACAAAAAACTGAGTAACACACATACATACACAAATAAACATTACATTTAATAATCATATTGGCATAGAGATGAATTTTTGTTTAAATGTTTTATTTAACTTCAAATATTACTTTTTTCTTCTGATTTTAAATGAAATTATAATATTTTTAGAGGGCCAAAAGCACTGTGGGCCCGAGGCACTGAGCTTGTGACTTTTAATGGCAAGCTTGGCTCTGTATAGATAATGACATTGCAGAGCAGGAATGCTTAGTTGATTCAGGTAGAGGAAGTCTGTTAAATACAATTTCATATAAATAGCTTATAGTCCATTTGTTGTGTTGGATAAACAACTACAGACAACATATTGCTTTTATTTCTGATCTTCTGTCAAACTTCGCCTGGAATTACACACATTAGTGCAATAAAAACGGCAATATTGCAGGCCTGAAGTTGTTCCCTTTGTAAGATTATTAGATCCTGTTGAGTGCTGCAATGCCTTCAGGGCAGTGGACAATTGTGGCACTCTTTTAGATTTTGGTTTCCTGGGACCAAAGCTGGCTGATCTTCTGATGAGCAAGTCTTGATTTTCTTTTAGACCTTATTCGAAGATACTCACTCTCTACAGGGAAACAAAAAACAAAAATCTTTTCCTCTCCTTGCAGCCCCATCAATTCATTGAACTAACATTTACCTGGTACCAGCTTGATAGCAGCACCTGTGCTGGGTACCTGGGTGATTTGTG